TTTATTTATTTATTTGAACACATAAGTATTGGTACAGAGGGGCACCGGATACATATGCGCTACACTTGATTCAAGTGTGCGTCTTCATACTGCCCGAGTGCCCAGATCAAACCAGGTGGTTTTCTAATAGTGCTACACCAATAGCCTTCGACCTGAAGGTCTGATCCACAAAGCAGTGGAGTAACGTAGGGAGATATAGTCCCATGATAGCCAGTGACCAACAGTTGGTTCATACGCCATTTGTTCCTTCAGGATAATGGGGCCCATGTGCACCATCGGATAGGAATCAGGGATTTTTAAACTCCCCTAGATGGATCCTCCATATCCACCAACGTGGTTAAGGCGCCGAACATTCGCTTTTCGTCCTCTCAATTTCGTAATCAACAGTAATTCTGCAAGAATGTAGTTAGTAGGATTTACCTGTCAGTGTCTGTATACGCGTGGCGATGTGAGAGCATTTAAAGAGGGAGAGCTAACTCTTCCCACCTTCGACCGTACTAAACCATCTGTTGACAATCGGAATAACAACAGAATTATAATAAGATATAGAATGTGTGTAGGACAACCCAAGGAAGATATGCAAATGATGTATTTAATGTAAGATTTCCATACTTTACAAAACCACTGTGTAATGTTGCGTTTCATTGTTGAATAAGTGTAGTGTATCCAACAGTTTCAACCCTAAACCTAAGTTAATATTCTCTTCAAAAAGAACCCTTAAAAATTGCTTAAATTCAAATGGATTAAGCTCACAAGTTTACCGAAATACAATTAGTCCATAGATTACATTACTGTGTATATATGATGATTAGAAGTATTTGAATTATAGAATCCTAGAAATAGCGCAATTGGATCAAGAAGTACTAGATAAGCACGAACGACTGTACTGTATTTGGAATTCAAAATCAAGCATTCAACAAGTACCAAGGAATCATTAGTTCATTCAAACACCACAGTATAATAGTTAACGAATCACTAAAATCTTTGAAGTAATGAAGAGTTGTTATGTTCTTATGTGAGATTCTTCAGAAGTTTCATCTACAACCAGTTTTGACTACTGATGTCTCATATCAAAAGCAGTTCGAATATTTGACTTCAATTACCATACAATAACACAAATGATGAATGGACTCCATTATTGTCACGACTTTATTTGAAAATCGAATGTGGATATGTGTAGCTCGAGAGTCTCTTATTAAAATGAACCAGGTATTTAATGCTTGTATGATTTTCAACGGTTATTTATCTGAAGGAGGTTTTGTGGAGATTTTAGTAATTTTTATAGTTGAATTATTTAGTCAATTGAAGCTAGACTATCATCGAAAACCTGGAAGCATTTTGTTGAGACGGCTTCCCAAAACTACGACTGAGCCTCCAGAGGAGCGAGAGGAGCCGAAGAGTTCTATCCAATCAGAACGTGATGAAGCTTTCTAGAAAATCAATGTGACATTCTACTATTGGTCAGTAGCATAACATACCTCTTTGCGGATTGGTTGAGATAACAAACACTAATTTCTATAAATACACATGATTTTCTTTACATTTTGATTGTTACCCAACCAATCTAATCTCAAGATAGTGCACACAATGTCGAGTCACCTAGACTAGTAGCCACATTGCAACTTGGTCCAAAACAATCGATCTGCACTAAGAAGGACTTGACACACATGACACTGATCACCACCCAGTGATCAATCAGTTGTGATTACATCTCAGTCCTACAGGAGGTCTGCCGTGGCCCAGATAGCCTAGTGGTAACGTCTCTGACTGTGAAGCTGGGTGACACGGGATCGAATTCTTCAGGGAGCACCAGTTCCCTCAAGATCACAGGCACACCTTGCTGACGAGTACCAAGTAGCACGAAACCTGGGTCTAGGGTTCCCTGTTGACTATCTCCGACCACCATCTAATCTCAACTAACACTTCTCATGTTTTCTGATTTTGCGACTTGATGGTTTCTAACATTCCAGTGCTCAAGCTTACACGTATCTAGGACTCTTAAAATTAATCCATAATACAAACTAATTTAGAATCGAATTCTCTCGATAAATCTATCTCATAACAATTGAAATCAACTTGAACTAATATTTGGACATTTATTTATATTGACAAACATATTATGACAACATACCGTGTTTTCTATTTTGTTTATTCCGCTAATCAATACCAGGAACTAATAGTTTATAACAACTCCACCTGGAGTCCCTCCGGGGGCTACTGCCGGTCCCAAGCCCGGATAAAGGAGGAGGGTTGGGCATGGGGTTAGCGTCCCCATCCCGTAGAAAACTAACTCGCTAAAAAAACGCTAAAAAACGCTAATAGTTTATAACAGTTTTTCTTTGTAGATGTCTGACCTTTCATATTAACATTTTCATCTATAAAATGGTACATTTTTTAAATATAAATCTTGTTGTTATGATGGTGATTATAAAAGAGATGACTCATTTTCAGAATACATTTTTTTGAAAACTATGTTTGACTCATCACTATCACTTCTAAATCATAACATTCTTCTATTGATTATATTAGGATGGTTCAGTATGGTCATTCTGTTTTCAACTCTATTAAATGTTTATCCAATAATTCATGTACATGAACAAGCATCAGTAGGGTTTATTTGAGAGGTTGTAGTGTGGTGTCAAGTCGCGGTTGACTATGATCACCACTACAAGAAGACTATCCGCCAGTTAACCGATAACATCCTCCGTAAGTCAAATATCAGAAGAAAGTTGATGGCTGTAGTCGAGATGTATTCGTTGGCGATCTCGTGGTATCGAAAGAATACCGAGATCGTAACAAAGGAATAAAAGTGTGGTTACTGAGCGTAACCGAATTCATGCAAGGTCACACACAATCAAAGGAAGAAAGTAAGTACAGTAAAACAATCACTGGTACAGTTGGTTATAATAATAATTGTTTCCGTTAAACCAATCGCGTTCTCTTGATAAAAGTAGGTCACTACAAGCTTGAATAAATATATGCCGTAGTCGGTTTGGTCGACTAATGGCATATTCATGTTTAAATTAAGCACTAAAAATACTTCAAATGATGGGTTCACCATCCAGTATACTAATGAGTCATGACAATAATATTTATGTCCCTATTTATTTGTTTGTAAACTGAAAAGTAACTAATATACGTCAAATGATTTACGGCAATCGGTAGGAAGTCCTGATGAATTGGCTAGTTGTAACTCTTTATTAAAGTGTGTCTGGAATATTCAAGGTACTGTTGAATTTCATGGGATTCAAATCAACCTTACCCAGTGTCAGTTAAAGTGAAATTCACATAAACAATCGATTGCTACGTAGTGATAAAGCAATACTGTGATATTTATCCTACAGGAGACTAGTTGGAGACAAAATTGACCAGTAGTAAATGTCTCAGATGGCTTCGAATTTTTTTAATAGCGATGGTTGCTTCAAGACTTTAGAAATACTGTATTGAGGAATATCTACTAGCATGAGACTTGGGTCATGTAGTGTAATTCGCTCCCTATCTACAACCACTCAGAATCAAAAAGCCACTTAGACTAGTAGGCACATTTCAACTTTATTGTGGTATATATATTGTGTGGTTGAAGTATAATAACAGAAACTTTTCTGATGTGTTTTCATATGGGGTTGAAGACTTGTGATAGAGGTAAGCGCTCACATCGGTGGATCAACAAGTCAAAATGATCTCACTGTTGCTCAAGGTTATTTTTGCAAGTCTAGGTGTTTCATTGGCCATGTTATAAGTCAGAAAACGGACTAGTATACTCATACTAGAAAAGAATTTATCAAGATTTCTATTGATGTGTTTCTTGCCTGAACTATTAATAACGGAAATAAAGTTAGACATAGAAGTAACTGGAAATATTCACCACACTCTAGGAAGGAAGAATTGAGAGAGGAAACGAGTGTCAACAGAATGGAAAGAAGGATATCTCATTAAGATACCAAATAAAGATCTCAGCAACTGCGAGAACTACCGAGGTAATACACCACTATCGGTAACACCAAAGGTTTTCAAAAGTGTCGCTGAACCGGATGAAAGACTCAAAAGACGCCCAACTTCGAGATCAACAGACAGGATTCCGTAAGGACCAGTCATGCACAAACGGAACGTCAGTTCCATTTAGCATCCACATCTATTCCACTGAGTAATCACAATATGTATAATACCATGTGAGCAAGAACTGTGGAACACAACCGATCAATTTCCTGAACAAGTTTATATATAACAGCATGGTGAATTACATTTTTACTGTACGATTACTGAAAGATATATAAGAGTTCAAAACTAGATGAATCAATCCATCATATTATTACTATTTAAGTCTATCCTACCCTGGTGGGCGGCCTAGGCTCCTCCACGAGGAGTAACAAACGTAAGTATCCTACCTTAACTTTATCATCACAATGGGGCATATACGATGGCCTTGAAGTTATGAGGGAATATTGTAACTCGAGGTGTATTAAGTTCACTTGATATTGAACTTATTCTATTAATTTCATTGTAACATTTATTCATTGGTGTTTACAATAATACCATCAAAGCACATAACCTATTTACCAATTATGGATTTCTATAATCAACAGCTTAAAGAGAAATATCGAGTCAGTCCGAACAGGATGCAAATATGCCAACAAGAGACCGATCAATTGCAGTCCTAAACATCAATGGGAAGATACAAGTAAACAACACCAAGTGAATATAATTTCATCCCATTGTACAAACAGGTGGCTATCAGAACTCAGTAACTAAGTGGATAACGCGATGGCGTTTGACGCGGACGGTACCAGGTTCGAGTCCCAGAGTGAAAATTAACTCTCAGATGCAGGTACGTCCAGCTGATGAGTTCCAAATGGGACGAAACGTGCGTCAAACTGGATTCCACTACTAGTCACTATCTATCTTTGCTTATAAAGCTTATGAATTAACGCAGTATCGAAGCAGTCCGTACAGGATGCAAATATGCTAACAAGGGACTGATCAATTGCAGAAAACAATAAGAATTGTGACAATCAATTATTTTTCGACAAATAATAAAGAAAATAATATCAATAGATAAACAAATGAAAAAGAAACTGAAAAAAAAAATAACAGCAACAAAATAACCCAGAAAGAAGCACATAAATGAAGGTAGTTAAACAATACATTCTTGTACTGAGTAAAGGCATGGATATACAAACAAGATAAGTTGCATCACAGAATGTGATTGAGCGAATGAGTATGCATATCAGTGAGTGAGTGTGTATATGAATCGATTATTGGACATACAAAAAAGAAAAAAAAGAATCAGAGAACCAAACAAGCATCTTCATAACATTGAATGATTGATCTTGAACAATCAATCAATAATGAGAATGCAAACTAATTACGCACACATTCACAAATATACAAAGAGATAGAGGTATGTAAACAATATTAACAAATAAATGAATAGTCTGCAAAACATTTTCACAAAAGAAGAACTTGATACAATGTAATTGATCATAAAAATCAATTCTTATAAATAGATCCATGTATGTTTGTATGTGTGAAACTCATCTCTTGTTACAATATCGTTTTCTAGTGCATCATAGATGATTATAATTCAACGATTTATTGATCAATATAGTTAGTATTATTTACTAATCACTAGGTGAAGTTACCATCATCATCACCATACCCCCTTCACAACTATTAAACATTACACGATTGGGAGAGAGAAAAAAAAAGAGGGTAAGTACTGTCATTATTATGAATAAGTTTAGTATGTAATCTGTGTGCGTAATGTATGGATAAGTGATTAAGTTGGGAATGAATAAGAGATATACACATCCATATATAGAATACATACACATAAATGAAAATTGTATGAAAATCCAACAGGTAAAAACTATTTTATCTGTTCACTTCAAACATGTTAACAATGATGAAAGACATAAAAATATGAAAACAAAACTATCCAATAAAACATCAATAACCTCTCACAAAATGGGACAACAAATCAACTACACAGAAAGACATTTCAAGAAAGAAACAACCAGTCTTCAGAAGCAAAATAAAACAGAACAGAAATGAAGAAATAAACAACAACAACAACAACAACAAAAAACGAGTCTATAACTAATCACTAAGTGATTAATGACAATAGAAGTAATAATAAAATCAAGTAAACATCATTGACTAGCACTGTATGTGTGTATAGATATATGAGTTCACATAAGATATTATTATACTAAATGGCAACTGTTATCAAACTGTATATTCAGACGGGGTATATATGCTTAAGTATACAAATTTAAGTAGTGCAAAAAGGTAATAAATATTAGTGATATAAGTTATAATAACAATATCAATGGTAATATGAATGATAATAATAATAATAGTAGTATATACATTAAAATATTGTAAATCCAATCCTATCCAATCGTATGATAAGAAATGAATCATTCACTTGTATATAGACATGACACATGATTGAATTCTTATTCATAGAGGATCTTGTAACTTTATATGAAATGGTATATGTTTGTATGGAATTCATCAACGTGTGGAATATTCCAAGAGAGAGAGAGAGAGAGAAAACACATAGTAAAAAGGTGAATATTCTCCCAAACTAATCAGAATGATGGATGGATGGATAAACGATAGTCAGAAAGATAATAATAAAGTATTTTATCATTATGTAATATACAATTTCTAAACGTTATAACTGAATATTAAACCGATAGAGTAGTAGTAGTAGTAGTGTAGTGAACGACAACACCGGTGGAGACAATCGAATGTATTTGAACACGAAATAACAGAGCATCTTACGAAAATCTGAGAACCATATAGTAAATACTTCATTTACAAAATATCAATCCATTGTCTCAAACTTCACTGTATCTTTTGAAAATATCACTTCATTGTCTTAGATTTCATTGTTCATGTATTTTCATATCAACTATGTTCCGTTTTCGTTCTTTCCTTATTGATCTTCCACTGGAATACATTTTATGCCTGACCACCGTTATATATTACTCATATGGATATAAGTAACCCACACCACTGTAGTATTGGTAGTAGTAGTAGTAGTATTCAGTCAAACCGTAACCACTGAATATATAGGCACAAAGAAGAAAAATGCACAACTGTATGGTGATAATATAGTTAGTATATTAAAGAATAGAAAGAAGTAAAAAAGCAAGATATATATATATGTGGGTGTGTACGTAAATATTCCAAGGAGATAATATCACAGTAAGAAAATAAACACCAAAAAAGGAAAACAGAGAACTGAAGCCCATGCATATGAACAAACAATTAAACAATATTAACAAACATAGATGTAAAGGGGGAGTATATATATATAGATAGATAGATATAGATACTTGTAAAGGTTTATGAAAATAAACGAATCATTGAATGAATTTTCAATAATCTTAAATTGGAATTGATTTATGAAAAAAAAAACGAATGAGGCAACATCAATTAAAACATTCTTCTATTATGTAATCTTTGAATGATGAATTGATTTTTGATATTTTGTTATATTCTGATGACGTGTTGACCATTTTTTTGGTGAATAACGTGGATTTGATGGAGCATCAACAAATGAACGTAATTCATAAGTTGCTATACGTGGATCAAATTCAAATTTATCACGTGAAAATATTAAACGTAAATCTGTATGAAGGTATAATTTACCTGAACGAGTTGTATGAAATCTATACATAACAAAAATTGAGAATATAAAGAGAATAAGTTATAATGTTTATTCTAGAATATAAACCAAGATTATCACATAAAAACTATATATTAATTGACTAGCAAATGATTCAATTTCTTGAAACATTTAGAAGTCATAACCAGTGTAGTTCCACCGAATCTATTGTAGATGAAGTTACTCATTGAGACAATAACGAACGTCGAAGCAATTTCATGGATGCATTAAAGTTGGATATTAACATGGTTGAATGACAACTCAATGGTTTAAATGTTAATCGTTCACATGAGAGATCGATAGATTCTGCGTTCAAATCTCACGAGTGGGATAGGGGATGCACACTGTCGAGGAGTCCCGTGCTAGGACGAAACAGTCGTCTAGTGTTTCCAGGCTCGCTTCCATGATGGTTCAGCTTTAATTAATTCATGAATTCAACTATTAAATTACTAAAATCTCCACAAAACCCACTTCTGGAAAAATTTATCAAAAAGTCTTTTAAATTTGTATAAAATAATTTTGAATGATTAATTCAATACTTATCAAGTATATCGAAATAACCAATCAGAATGAAGTCCAATGTGACCTTAAATCCTATTGGTTAATTATAAGGTAAAAGCAAGGTATATGGGAAGCCAATCAGAATCGAGAAAATTCTTGGACGAAATTCGAAAATAAAAAACATTTATCTTAGATAAAATTTAATTATTTAGATATAGATTGTATGAATAAAATAAATTAAACATAAATCGTCACTAGGATCAATGTACTGACTACTTATAAACTATATGAGTATTTGAGAACGTGAAAAATTCTAAATCTATATGCATGGACTTATATAAGTCAATATATTCAATTTTCAGATAGAAAAACTTGTAAAAGAAAAAGAAACTTTTCCCTCATAAACTATTGATTTACGATAACGTTTTTAAAGAATAGTGTTGGAATAACTTACAAGAACTATGATAGAGATTCTAGAGGCCTTAAATGAGCCGAAGAGATTCCATCCAGTCAGAAAGTGATAGAGCTTTCTAGAATATCAGTGTGACATGCTACTAATGGACAGTAGCATAGCATAACTCTTTGCGGATTGGTTGAATTATAATATTGATTTAACAAACGCTAATATCTACAAATACCCATGATTTTCTGTATATTTTGATTCTTACCCAACCAATACTTCTCTAGATTCCTTCTGTCTTCTGATTTTGCTACTGTGGTGTTCTATATGTTCGAGTACCGTAGTTGTATACCGTATTATGCGTTAATCAGATAGTGAACATAGCAAATAGCTCAAACTAATCCCTACATCATACTTATAACATTCATAGATTTAGCAATATGCTGAAAAAAACGTCTGATCTTTCATAGAGATGGGCCTTAATTATTCACTGGTGGTTCGTCTAAATTAATGAATTAGCGGATCAACAACCACTAGACAGTTGTAACACTACCTTCCACATACTAATAACGTGATTTAAAGCCGAGTACATGAATCAATACATGTTTAGTAAGTGGTTTTAGTGTTTATATTGCTCTGTGGATAATATCCAATGAAGAATTAAGGTTAGGTGGATTTCGATAATAGTAATTAAGTATGTTTAACATTTGATTGAGTTATTATTGATTGAAGTGTTAGGATTAGGCGTATTAATCTAAATTCGAAAGATTACTTAAAAACTGAAGTTCACTCTCCTGTTACGACCAAAGTCACTCGGTCAGGAGACGTACCTGGCAAGGACATTGAATTAGAAGTGGTCTTAGTAATAATGTTTAATAAAACACTAATTGAACATAGAAAAATGTTACCGGTAACCTATGGTTCGTACGCGATTTGTTTCCTCAGGATCTTGGAGCCCATGTGTATCATTGGATTGGAATGAGGGTTTTCCAACTTCCCTGGATGGATCCTCCATATCCACCAACACGGTTAAAGTGCATTTCGTCCTCTCAATTTCGTAAAAACATACCCCCGCCTCGAGAAGGCAGTGAGTAGGACTACCCTAGCAGTGGTTGTATGCACGTGAGCATTTGAGAGTATTTTGAGAGGGATAGCTGACTCTACTCATTCTCAGTCGTACCAGGGAATTTGGGGGTTTAAATGATATCTCTAAGCACAAATAAATCCATACAAGGTGAATCCATAAATTCAATAGTGTAGATTAAATTTTAATGTTGTAGTTCCACTTAACGAAATAAGTGAGCTGAGTTCAACTCACAAAAATGAGATCCCATGAATACACATTCAACGAATTCTCGTAATTTACCATTAAGAAGTGTAAACATAGGTGTTGATAGTCATTTTCTTTTGAATTATACACCTTCTTACCCTCCAGTGTGTGTACTTGAGAAACAGGGGAATAGAACAACAAAGTGATCAATATATCACTTTGTTTATAACTGCTAATTTCATCACGAATTGATAAAAGTAAGTCAATTACGACGAAGTGGATAAACACACACATACGCATAACAATTACGAATGAATTCATATCATAATCCGATTATGTATTATGATACTTGGAGTGCAAGTGTGTATGTGTGAGACGGAGAGAGAAAGAGAAAGAGAAAGAGAGAACGTGCAATAGAAAGAAACACACAGATCAAGATAAAAGTGCATATAATGTGATAATCATGATTAGCAATTTTAAGGAATAAACAATTCAGATAATCATACACATAAACGAACAAACATAAATAAACTTTTGATAAAATATGATAACCATACATTGAATACTTCATTCGTAAAATTTCATCATTTCTCTTACAAATTCAGTATGATTCTTCCAGTTTACAATTTCATTCTATTTCCGTTTCTGTTTTCTCTTCAATTTAACCTTCTTAGTTTTCTGCTGCCTGCGTTTTCATTTCCAATTAGTGTTACATGCTACTTATATCTATCAACATAAGTAGCATACACCACAAAATAGGTTAAGTAGTGGCACAAATCCATGAAGTCGCTGACAAGTGGACTGGGCCACGTTGGTAGGTGTAGACTAAATGGTTGGGATCCGCGAGAAGAGACCTTGAATGACGCATGACTCAAAATTGTTAGCAATGGCGCAGGTGTATTCACTCTTTGTGTTCTCCCAAATTCTAATCTTCTGAATTCTTCATGTCTCTTTGCTTTTTCCTTTTCCAAATTTATTTTACTGGATTATACTCATTGCATAACATCTTTAAACCCTAATGTTTCCGATTACTGCTTACACTCTTACTAGCTCTACCACTACGGGATTTGAATCGAAAACTGCATCTCTGTGCTGATGTGGTATGGCAACTCAAACTGATGTACGTACGTACGTACGAAGTTCTACGTTGTTAGTGACTGACTGCAATGTCACTCTTGCATATTTTCTGTTGATTACGATTGACTGGCAAGCGACAAGTATGAATGCCAACGGAAGGAGAGAGGGAATTTTTCTTCAGGAAATCAGATGCATTTTAGTTGATCAATGTTAACTAACATGAAAACAAAGCTAATAAAGACTTCCTGTAGATAACTTCCAACTGATAAACGTATTGGTTGTAGCTGCTACTTTGGTGTGTGGTTGGTTGAGTTTGCAAAACATGCTGAATAAATTGAGTGATCATGACTGGAACGCAAGTTCTTTTATGTCTATCATATCATGGCCAGGAAGGTTAGTTGAATAGCGGTAAGACTTAAAGCAGCAATACTAAATTTCGATGGAGGAGTCTATTATCGACTATGCTATAATGTGACGGGAGTGGGGTATTTCCATCAGAAAACTAACACCAGTGGTCTACAGATTAAGTTTTCAAGCGCGAGACTGATAAGGTCCTGGGTCGGAATCCCACGAGATAGGATCGTGGATGCGCATTGCTGAGGAATCCCATGCTAAGGCAAAATGGCCGTCCAGTACTTCCAGGTTTTCCATAGTAGTCTAGTTTGAATTGATTCATGATCTCAACTATTGAAATTACTATAATATCCACAAAAAATGTAACGAATAATAATTGTGAGCTATAATTGTCAACAATCTATTAGTCTATTTATAAATAACATAATTAACCAGTTCATGTTGTTGGTTGACGGTAGTGAGATATTTCTATTAAAAAAATAACACCAGTAGTCTAAAAGTTAAGTGTTCATGCGTGAGACCGATAGGTACTGAGTTCGAATCCCACGAGATGAGATCGTGGATAGGCACTGCTGAAGAGTCCCACAATAGGACGAAACGGCCGTTCATTGCTTCCAGTTCATGTTGTTAGTTAGTTTAGATCATTGTTTATTTAATCATTATTAAGAGAAATAAGAAAAATAAAGTTTCTCTTGATTGTTTTCTTTTTTCAACAAACAATGAATATTATTACCTTAAATGCACTAGATATCGTAAGTAGGCAGGTAATTCATTACGTGTATTCAATGACACACCAGCAATACCAGTAGTATTATTAGTAGTAGTAGTAGTAGTATTACTATTAGTAGTGTTGTTATTATTATTAACAGCATTCTGTGAACCATATGAACTTAATGAACCAATTGATGTAATAGACGAACATGAACATGATGATGAATAAGATAGAAATGATGGTGTATTTGGTTCAGTTAATGATTTTGATGATATATTCCATAAATGATTTGTATTACAATTGGATAATGTATTATTCATTGATACATTCGTATTTATCATTGATGTACTAGGAGTACTATTACAATTTAAATGATTCGTATTAGTATGTGTTGAATGATATTGAGGTTTATGAAATGAACAAGTGGAATTGTTATGTAAAGATGTTGATTGTGTTGAATTGGAAATTATATAAGATGAATGAAATTGATTATGTTGTTGAATTGGCATATAAACTGTACGTTGTCTTAAGAATGTTTGACAATTTGGTGGCATATCAGCTAAATCATATACAATAACAAACATTTTCACTACAAGACCAGTTGGATTGAATAAAGTTAACTAAAAATAGAAAGAAAACAATAGTAACATTTAAAATAAAAGACGGATCAACGATAGTAAATAATATTGATGCCCACAAACGACGTGATACGGCAGAGAGTGGGGAAAGTCAGCTCTTCCTATCGAAATGCTCTCACATGGCTACGCCTGTACAACCACTGTCAGGGAAATCCTACTCACTGCCTTCTTGTGGCAATATTGTTGACTACGAAATCGAGAGGACGAAAAGTGGTGGACCACTAATGATGCATATGGGCTCCATGATACTAAAGGAACAAATGGCGTATGAACCAATTATTGGTGACCGGCTACCATGGGACTGCATCTCCTAAAGTTGTCTTGTGGATCAGACTTTTAGGTCAAGGGCTTTGGGTGTAGTCGCATAAGAAAACCACGTGCTTGGATCTGAGTATCCCGGCAGTATTACAGTCCTCATACAAAGCAATGATAACTGCCATTAGTTTCATTGTCATTGTGTGGCCTACATGTATTTGGTGCCCCCCTGTACTAATGTTTATGTGTTCAAATAAATAAATAATAAAACGAATAATATTGATAGTCGATTTATTCATTAATAGACATTTTGTTACAGTAAAGAATTCATCTTGATGTGCAATGTTTTTAATGCAGAAATAGGTTGAAGGAAACCTAGAATCCTCTAAACAGAGACGTAGGATCAACCAATGAAGTCATCAACCTATAAACTGAACCACGTATATAGGTGCCAACTATCTGGCTGTGATCCATGCCATTATCATAATCCATGATTGGGAACCACTTTTCTTTAAGGACTGAAATCAACCTAGTGAAATAATGAAATCCATGGAACAATGAACAGTTGTTTTGCCTTATTTTCAGATTACTAGTCAGTAATGAGTACTCGTGAAATATCAACTTCTACAACGACCATATTATCGTTATCATGAAACTCAGCTGATATCCACATAGTTCAACTTCCCTATTGAGTTCATTTTATGATGTAATCTAAAATATATCTTACTCTGAAGAATATTTCCAGTCAGTCGTAAATGAGCTGTTATGTTTGAAAAATATCGAAAACAATCAAAAAACTGATTTATGACATGATTTCTAAACTCTTATAAATCTAAAACTATGGAATCTCTAAATATATTAAAAAATAGGTCGATTCAGTTTGGAATCAGTGTTTTCCAACTCCACTAAGTGGGTTCACTTTATCCACTAACCCGGTTAGAGCGCCGAACATTCGCTTTTCGTCCTCTCAATTTCGTAAACAACACCCCCACCACGAGAAGGAAGTAAGTAGGACTTCCCTGACAATGCCTTCTCGTGGCGTTACTGTTGATTACGAAATTGAGGGGACGAAAAGCAAATGTTCGGTGCTTTGATCGGTTTGGTGGATACGGAGGATCCATCTAGATGAGTTGAAAAATCCTGATTCCAAACCAACGATACACATGGGCTTCAGGATCCTGAAAGAAACAAATAGCGTATGAACCAGTCGTAGGTTACCGGATACCATAGGACTGTATCGCCTAACGTTGCTAGACCGTTTTTTGAATCAGACCTTTAGGTCGAAAGTTCCAAAAGTGGTGACCCAAGAAAACCACCTGGTTCGGTCTGGGCATCCTAGCAATATTACAACCCATCTACAAATCAAGTGACTTATATGGCACGTATATATTCAGTAATTGCTTGTACCAATACTGATGTGTTCAAATAAATAAATAAATTTTTGAATACTAATTTCATTAAAGTAAATACAAATCATAGCAACAAAACTATACTACTGGTACAGTTCTTAAATGAATTATTGCCAGTCTAATCACTATCAGTCAGTCAGTTACAACGTAGGACCAGGCACATATGTGCATCGGTCCAGGTTGCCATACCGCATCAGCACAACAAGATGAACACCGGATTCATAGGAGTGGTTAGGTCAAAGGTTGCAATAAGGATATAGTATAGGAAGAAAGAATTAGTTCGTAGACAGAAAGAATGAAGTGATTTTAATCTCTTAGTTTAAGGGAAGACAGGGAGTGTATGCACCGACGCCATTGTGATCGATTCTGAGCCATGTCACCAAGAGTCTCCTTTTCAGGTACCTCCAGAAGAACCCTTCCACGGTGTGGGCAACCGGGAAGTGAAAACCGCCCTCATACCTCTAACAGCACTCAAGACCACTAAGTCTAATCACTATAACAAATCATATACAATATATAAATGTTGTTTGCATTTTTATATCAATTTCATTTTGTTAATCTGAATTTTGAATTAACTGAAGAAACATTAGGAGATCTACAAATACACCAGCACCAGCACCAGCACCAGTACACACACATACATACATACAATCGAATATGAATCATAAGACAATACAAATTAGAAGGTAAAACGATATGAACTAGTTATGTATAGGCAGAATGTTTATGATGAATTCATTTTATCCGTATGTACAAGTAGTACGAATAATATATTTATGTTAAATAATCGTTAATGGTGAATCTAAGCTGTGTTTCTTATTGATTGCTGATCTCAACAGTATGACTAGTTATTGGATCCCATTTTTGGTAGTTCAAATGGGAATTGAATCTAGAACATTTCTACGTCACGAAAGTACTTAATTATTGATAGAATATGAGATTAAACAATTATTTCTTGAACAAACATCAAATACAAATGGATAAGAATAAGTGTAGTTACATAGATTTGTTAATTTCATATTGTTTGGTTTACAGGGTCAATTGATCAAGTACAGTTAATACGATTTACAACACATAAATTCATAAAATATGAAGTGTGACTTAGTAAAGAAATGTCCGTTCGGTGTTTAATGACTTGACAGTAACAATAACGATACTAGGGTTCAAGCTTACGCCATATTGGATAAAAGTAAAGTATCTTAACTCTAAGGCGAGATTATAATTTATGGAAAAACCAATCAGAATAACGATAACAGGTCTTCGATTTTGGAGCGAAAATCATTCACCCATTTGGCTAAATAGAGTTTTGGCATTATAGCTGATGTCAGCTCGTGATGAAAACCCTAACAAAAACCATCAACTATAAATTATAATCTTCATTCTTCAAACTTCTCTATAACCCTCATTTATAACTAGTAAGTAGGTAGACACTCTCAAGGTCATTTTGGCATCGCCGCTCAAACGTCGTCCATAAATTAGTCTCACCAACTCAACTTTAATAACACAAACAATAGAAACTATATAATCGACTTTAGAGAGCATAGTTCATCTGATGTCAAATGCATCCAATAACTAGATCTACAAGTTTCTGTCGAAAATATTCCATAACACAAAGTACAAATATCCATACATTTGTCTTCTTCATCAACTAACCATCTACAAATTAATGTGAATCAATGAGGTAAACAAAATTGGAGCATATCCACTGCACAAAACTGTACAACATTAACATCAACAAACATAACGAATGAATATACAACGAATCAGAGTGGATGATAATGATTGGATAGTTTTGTCACCAATCACATTCGAGTGAGAAGGTCAGTTGACTGAGTGAGTTGTGTATATTTAATCAGAGTGTAGATAATTGTGCGAACATCTACTGTCATTTCATAACTGTAGTAACATCAACAAACGAATATCATCATCATCCGCTCCCTTTAAACGAATACTCATTACATCATCAAACCAACAGTACACAGATACATGTGTTATTCCAATCTTTACAAGTGGATTGTATATCCATAAGTCTAAACAATGAAGATTGTTTCGATCAGAGACAAACAAATGAAATCTCACTGAATGTTGGAAAGTGATCACATCACACAGTATGAAGATAGCTGATGTAATTTTAAACTGAAATATTTCATGGAACGACAACAACAACAACGATAAAAACACCATCATCATTGTTGTGTGCAGAATGTTTCGATGTACGAAATACATAACGTTATATGAAGTTACTTGAGGGTTTCATTAAAGCATCATGAATTGAGAATGTTAGTCCATTGTTATGATAACAAGCGATAATTGTGTTGATGATGAAGTCAACATTTGTAAGCCTACTCTATTTAAACATTGTGAGATAGTGGACGTGATGAAGTTTACATGCATCTACGAATGATATGAATCAAAATTGATCAGTATGAATCAAGTCACTGATGAACATGATTGTGTCCGGGTTCAGCTTGTAGTTTCACCTTCTTTTATTGAACGATGAGTAAAATTTGAACTAGGCGTATCAGTCACAAATGATGATTTATTAGAAATTGACACAACAGCTAGTGAAAGGTTTTTAGTTAGGTTTTGTAGTATTCATCATCAGTACTTGAGGCACAAAATCGTTTTTCATAAAGTAGTATTGAACAGAGCATCTTAAGAATCCGGCCACCAACATTAAGATATAATTAGGTGAATAAATCGTAACTCAATAGTTAACAATATTACGTAATTCAGTCATTCAAGATCATTATTATATTATGATGTCATTGCTGATTTTTGTCAAAAAACCATTTGCAACAATCCATGTTTACCTGTTATTGTTAACACACTTATGTAAGTATTTTTTTTAATATTTGAGATCATGGGTCAATTGAAACTAGAACACAATGGAAAACCTGGAAGCACTGGATGGCCGTTTCGTCCTAGTATGGGACTCCTCAGCAGTGCGCATCCATGATCTCGCATCCACCATTGTTTTCAGGAGGGATCGTGGATGCGCACTGCTGAGACGTCCCACAGTAGAAAGAAACGGCAGTCTGTTGCCTCCAGGTTTTCCACGGTGATCTATCTTCAATTGACACATGATCTCAACTATTAAAAACTACTTTAATATCCATAAAACGACTTCTGATATTTATATATGTAGGTTTGTATTTCTTCGTTTAATGAATGAGAAGTGCAAATCAATGAAAAGTGCATCTTCAAAGACAACGAAGATATTAAAACATTGAACTGACTGAACATATTTAATCAATTATAAAATGATGTATGTGATTAAAATGAATACAAATACATACAAGAAGTTTTTATTGTAAT